CAAGTGTCTCATGGAGTTTCCTGCTCAGGCTGGCTTTGAGCCATAATCCACAGATCTCAGCCTCCTGAGTAGCTAGGATTATAGGCATGAACCACCAGTGCCCAGAAATGGCAAATTTACAAGAAGCTCAAAATATTTGGAAATGAAACAAAAAAAGCAATTTGTAAGGTGCCAGTGGGTCAGGGCTATTATCATATTTACTCAAGAGCCCAGGATCTCAGAAACTGAGTTTGGGACCAATTCAGGCAGGAAAGCCTGTGAGTCTCTGACTTTCAATCAAGAAAAGTGCAAGTGATCTATGTGAAAAGTGATGGAGCCCTAACCTTGAGCAAAAACACTAAAAGACAGCACCCAATCCTCGTGTTCAAATCCCTGGCCAGAAAAACACATTGTTTTAAAAAGCAGTTTTACTTACAACATAGGTTGCAGACAGTCTTGGGAGTCTCATTGTTGCAATGGGTTATTCTGTGATCATGTTTCACCATTTTGTTATACTCCTTCCCCTCCCCAAATTAGAGAAATGTATATACAAGATGCAATGTACAAGAATCAAATACAGTGATTACAGGGATGTACCATAGAAAAGAAAATAAGACAAATAATTTCATTGTTCACTAAGAACAAAAACAAAGAAAAGCCTCTTGTGTCTGTATCTTGGCCCTCGTTTTGCCTAGCATCTTGTTTTTGTTGTTCTTGTCCTTACTCTTTTTTTAGTTTTATTTCACAATTTCACTAGGAATGCAATTTTCAATCCCGGTATTTGGTTTTGTTTATTCAACTCACTCTGACACCCAGCCCAGTTACCCAAATATCAACCCTGAACTTCTAAGAAGCCATTCCCAGCACACCAACCACCAAATCCAGCTATGCATGTGATGGACTTACCTTACAGAGCTAACCCGGGGTACTGTTCTCAAAGTCTGTGAGGCTTCGATCTCCAGAAAACTACCAGAAATCTGGAAGAACTGTGATCCAAGTGGTAGAGTGGCAGCTCTGAGGAGGGGAAAGGAGGGGGGAGAGTCAGGGAGGACACCAAGGCCTTGAGTTCAGTCCCAGGACTGGCACACACACACATTACAGGAGGACATAACAAGGAGGGAAAGCTAAGGCATTCCATGACCCTTACAGGCAATACACCCACCATCACCCTGAAATACTCCCCGGACCCCAGGGAAGCCGTTCCTCCAAACCTCCGTGTCCCCTCCAGACCAGCCAGACACCTAAGGGACTCACCTCAGACAAAGCCCGCCGCCCTTCCTCTCAGCAGCACACCTGCGCAAACCCCACTGCTTCCTGCACCCCGTGTGCTGGGGTCTGGCCGTCCTGCAGGCTCCACGCCGGGCAAGGCACAGGAGGATGCGCTGCCCGGCCTGACAGCAACCATGGCGGAGCCAGGCGCCCAAAGACCGCGGAGGCCGCGCGGGGCGGCACAGCCAAGCCCGAGCCCCAGAAAGGACGTCCACAAGTTCCCGCTGCACACAAGGCCTTGCGGGGTTTCCTGACAGGCCTCCTTTCCCCACGGCTGCCCTTCCTCATCGCTCCCCCCAGGACAGGACCTCAGCGCCAACTTCTCTGCTCCAGACCCCTGTCTCTCCTAGAAGCTGCAATGGCGGTCCCGCAGGGGCTGCATTGCCAGTCTGAGCATGCGCACCAGCCTTACTCCACTGGGCAAATCCCTTTGCTACTCTGGAGGGACTCAGGACCCCTCCCACAGTCTTAGGCCCTGGGGTTAAGAGTCCCTGAAACTCAGAACCCAGATTCCTAAATCACAAAGATCACAGGCCTCTGCCTTAAGTGGCCAGCTCACAGCGCCTTTTTCATACAGAGTTTGCTGAATTTCCTTAAGTTCACTTCATCCATCCATACACACACACACACACACAAATATATATATTAATCTATTTCTAATCAATGATATATTTACACACAACTATATATTCGTATATTTATCATCAATGTTCTCTAAGCATTTTGCCCAATAAAGTTTTACTAGGCAGGTATTCCATGACCTGAGCCCTGCTCTGAGCCCTTTGTTTACAATTATTTTTCAGACCAACTGTTGAGTTTTGGCCCCTGGCGGGCATTCAATTTGAAGTTCCTCATCTCTGCCTGCGAAGTATCTCTAATTCATCAGATGTGTGCACCTCTACCACCAGATTAACAAAACAACAATTATATAAATATAATTGTTGTTGAAACACCAGTACAAATGTAGAAGTCATGTATAATTTCTGGGAGGTTTACATGATGGAGAGCTAAAATTTTATCCAAAAATGAATCCCTAGACTCTGAGTGTATAGGACAATTGTATAGTACTTCAGTAGCTTGTACAGGTCTGGGTTCCAGTCTAAAACAAGAATAAACAACACTCCAGGATCTTAAATTGTCTCAGACTGACAAAATTCTTTTCTTGTCACATTTACGTCAGGTTCCAAACCTTTGCTATGAAAGATTTATGTGATTTCTTAGAAAATCAGGTTTTCAAAAGTTTCCCTGACTGGACACTGTGGATCATGCCTTTAATGCTAGCTAGTCAGGTGGCTAAATCTGAGCATCATGGTTCAAAAGCAGATCAGGCAGGAAAGTCTGTGAGACTCCTCTCCAGTTAACCTCCAGAAAACTGGAAGGGGAGCAGTGACTCTAAGTGGAAGAGCATTAGCCTTGTGCAAGCAGAGCTCAGAGGCAGTGCCCACAACTTGAGTGAGAGAGTAAGACTGAGAGAGTAAGAGAGAGAGAGAGAGAGAGACAGACAGACAGACACAGAGATGGAGAGACAGACTGAGAGAAAGAGAGACAGAGAGGGAGAGAAACAGAAACAGAGCAAACAGAAAGACAGAGACAAAGACAGAGACTGAGACAGACATAGACTGACAGAGACAGACAGAGGCAGAGACACAGAGAGAGAGAGAAACAGACACAGAGACAGACAGACAGACTGACACAGGAAGATGGACAGGAAGACTAAGAAATCCCTGACAATTCCATTTAGAAAATGTATACAGATATCCAAGATGTATTTCCTATGCTTCTACAATTCACTACATAGAACCACATCATCCTGTTCCTCTTTTGGTTAGCTTGAATCGATTTGGAGTTTCGTAAATCATTCCACATGCTCCCATAGAACATGAACAGCCACACAATCACTCACCAATGGTTTATATGTCTGGCCTTCTTGCTTAAATATGTAATTTTCCTATTCATATGTCTTTCTGTTTCCATGGTTTAAAGCTACCATTGCGCACGTTCAATGTATAGATATCTTCTTCCTTTGTACCAGTAGTGCAATTTGAACTCAGCGCCTTGAGCTCTTGCTTACTTTTTGTTCAATGCTTAGACATGTAACTTGAGCCATGATACAAGTCCTGACTTTTGCTGGCTCATTAGATAAGTCTTTCAGATTTGTTTACTGGGACAGATTTGAAGCGCCATCCTGAGGAAGTATAGGGCACTCTTGAAGCTAGAATTATTGAGATGGGCCAGGACACCTGGCATGTCTTTGTCCCTCTGGCTAAGTCTTCTGTCCTCTGTTGATGATGGCTTTTACATATTGCCTATGAATTTTGCCAAATTCTTTTGCCCCAAGGTAGCTTTTTGATGTTATTTTGAGGAGAAATTTTCTTACATATTTGCACAGAGCAAAATGGGTGTGCATACAGACTTGAATTCACTAATGGAACAAGGTCCTCCATTCAGGACATTTAGTCTGGCATTTGTTTCAATAGACAGAACAACTTTCAAAGACATCTGGTTTGCTATGTCCTAGAGCTTTAGTAGTGGCCTCATCACCCCATGCAGGAATATGCTGGGATCCTTGGCCCTCACAGTGCAATGAACACTTCCCTGTATGGCCAGTAATTGCTATTGGATAGCTCCAGGTGACTCTGTCTTTGATCTTACTCAGGAACCATGTGTCTGGGACATCAGAATGTACAATAAGAATAAAAGAGAGCATTTAGAATCCATAAATTGTATAACATAAACCTATATATTTAATAAATTTAGAAGAATAAAAAGAATGAACATTTTACAACAATCAGGACGAAAAGAAAAAGAGCGATATCCCCAGGGAGAGGGGAGGGAAGCTCTAAGTCTAGGTTGGCTTCTAAGTTGCCTTCAAACATAAACTCTGCTGAAGAATCCTCCATATGATCTAGCTCCTCATGAAAGATAGGATTTGCTCCAGCAAATGCTGGAGAGGCAGATTCTAATTTCTCAGTTGGAGATTCATTCTGCTGCAGCAGGACAGATTTGTCCAGATATTTTTTGAGGACAGATTCAATTTCCTAAGCTGCATCTAACATTGGGACCTCACTCATTGGTTCCCGTGAACACAGACTGGGGACATTTTCCATCAGCCCCACGTGTGCTACTCCCTCCAGCACGCCAGGAGGAGTGCTGATTTGACCCTTTACGAGCTGATCTGGGCTGCCTGTGAAAGTCAGAGGAAGACAATCACTATTACTTTCTTCTTTCTTTCCGGTCCCTACAGGTTCAGCTCTGTCACATGTGGAGTTCAGAACCATTGTCTTATCCACAGGACTCACAACCTTTTGGGGCCTCACTGCAAATGCATGCAACCCCTCTACATGCACATGCTTTGTGGAGTCCAGTGATGGCTCCAGATCTCCATCCATCACCATCCTTGACATCACCGAGGGCTTCTTTCTTGGCACGTCAGGAGAAGCTGCTCTATGGCGGCCAAAGCCTGAGAAAGAGAAATAGGTAAAGGAGTTTGACAGTGGACTCTGGATGTTCAGGTGGAGTTCAATTTCCATGAGGCTCTAATGGAGGAAGCTGTACAAGTTTACTTTGGACTGAACACTGATGAGCAGGTAAGGTCTTTCCCAAGAGTGGCTAAGCGCAAGTGCTTTCACCAATAGAACCAACACTGCCTGGCAGAGAGTATCATAAAAAGACATTCTTACAACCTGGGGGGTAATAAGGGCTCTCAGGCAATTAGGCTCATCCCTAGAGGTCCAGGCACCATCCCTACTCACAAGCTCTGAGGTGACCACACAGGGACTTCTTCCTCTGTTTCTTGGTCTCATTCTTCCCGGTCTCCTCCAGCTCATCCAGATGAACGTGGAGATTGAGGACCAGATCTGAGGAGGGCATGTGGAACATGGCATAGTGGGTAAGTTCTTTCACCGGGTGTCGGTTCTGGGGCTCTCGGAAATCTGCAGGATAGCAGTCCATCCACATGGTGAAGATGGAACAAAGGCTGCTGTGGGCAGATTGGTGACAAGAAGAGTGAGTGCCTGCCCTCCCTATCCTGGGCCTCCCATAGCCCCTTTCTGCAAGGCTGCTATATGCACACTTGCATGTTCGGAAGCAGGAGGAGACTCCTGCAGGCAGAGTGATCTTCACCACCCAGGTCTAGAAGCTTCTGAAAGATAATTCTCCAATATTCTCACTGTGATAGGTAACAAGAAGGAACTGATTTTGAGCACACAGCCCTCCCTGTCATCCCTGAGAGTCCACAACCACACCACAGCTGTGTCCTCTGCCACCATGCCAATCCCAAGCCTCTGACCCTAGTGCAAAGCACAAGTGGTGTGCAAATGAGAAATCTGCACTTTGAATCAGAAGCCTCAAAGATTCCATTGTGCAAGAAGGGGCCTTTTCTTTGGGCCACAGTCCACTTACTTCTTTACTTGTTCATCTTCCTCGAAGTTACGGCCCGGGAATCTGTACCTATGGGAGGACAGGAGGAAGTCACAACTCTTCTTCTCCTTTTCTGCCCAAACAGGACACATATGGGATGGGCTCATTCCCAGACGGGGATGGAATCTGACACATAAACAAGTGAGATATGTCTATACAGTTCAGTCAAAATTCTTCTATGAGAGGTATATGCATTTGGTCCAAGGAAAATGTGCCAGTGGCTAATACCTCAAATTCTAGCTCATCAGGAACATGAGATCTGAGGTGCACAGTCTGATCAGACATTAGTCAGTAAAAGTCTAAAGACACTAATTTTTCAAAGGCCAGAATTGCACCTATGGTTCAAATGCTGTAGTGGTAGCTCTGAGCACCAAAGAAACAGCACTCAGGCCCTGAGTTCAGGTTGCAGGACTGGCACACACACAAAAACATAAAAGCTTCAGGGGTTATAAATATGTAAAGCTAACATAATCCCTCCCTGAGGTCTCTGAGGTGATTCAGCCTCCAGTTCACCCGCCTTCCCCACACCCAGTCTGTCTTGGGTCTACATTATTCACAGACATCCAGTTGCTAATGAAACCTTATTTCCTAATGGGAAATGCGATTTCCTGGAATGTCACCTAGGTGTGGGCAGGAGTTGGGTGCCTCTGCACATGCCTGTAATCCTAGCCCCTCTGTAACCAAGCTTCTGAGGTTCCAGTAGCTTTTCTCCTGGGCAGACCACTACTAAGAAAATAGGCAGGCTATGGACTTCTTTGTCTCATGCCAAGTTCCTATGAGAACACCCCCATGAAATCAAAAGGTTCAGAGGGGTGCCAAGTATTCCACAACTCAGCCAGGAAGGGCTGCATAGCCCTGGGTTGGAAGGGGAACACTCACTTTTTAAACACAATAGCCAGCACTTGCTCCATTGTCGCCCACTGTCTATAATTGTGGAGGAAGTTCCCAACATAGAAGAGATCGCCTTTCTGGTAGGCAGGGACCAGGTTCATCACCAGCAGGTCCAGCAGGCCTGCCTCCAGGCTCCATATATTGCATGGCACATTCAGGGTCAGGGCTGACTCATTGGCACACTAAGGTGGGAAAAAGAATCAGAAAAAAACATGGAAATGAGAACACTTCCAAATGAGGAACTGTGATAGAGTAGATTGAAACCTATGCAGAAAGCATTATCTCAGAATAAACAAATCACATAAGAAGGTTCTACTTTGGGCTGGGTTGGGGTTAAGTAGGTTTTCTATCATGAGTATACCTTGCCTGAGTTGCCTTGTGATTTCCTAGGTTTCTTTTTGGACAAATCTCTGAGATGGTTGGTTCGTGGCTTGCCACTGATCCAGTGTCTACAGCTTTGACTGAGGCACCCATACTTCTCTTGGCTGAGACCAGAGTCTCGAGACCTGCGAATACAGCACAAGAACATGTTTCTGGCTCCTGAGTCACAGGCCAAGTGAGCTGGCTTGAGCAAACTGTGAGTTACCGTAGCCTGATGTCAGGGTTCCATGTTCTATTCCATTGTTAAGGAGGCAGGGTCACCTGTCAGGCCCAATGACCTCTGCCACTTCCTCACACAAGAAATATTCCCATCCACCCAATATTGCAATATGTACATGTAGACAAGTTAACAGCACATCTTGTTTGTGAAATCCTAATCTGCTCGCCCTAGGTTCTGGCATGATCTCAGCTTCCAGGAGTAGCTCCTAGGTCACATTTATGGCCTATCTGTCACTATTCCTCTCATCTGGCTCAAATCATTTGGTTTCTCAGGGCCTTCTGTGACTGCCACATCCTTCTGGCACATATTTTGACATCAACATCCTAGGTCATTGTTTACTTTCTGTAGCCTAATCTGTTTGTCCTTGGAACCCCTCTCTGGTATCCTCTGGAGCCAATGCAAATACTTAGAGAATCAGAAGCCTCAAAGATACGATTTTGAACCAAGGGGCCTTTTCTTTGTGCCACATTCCACTTACTTCTTTACTTGTTCATCTTCCTCAGAGTTACGGTCTGGGAATCTGTACCTACGGGAGCACAGGAGGAAGTCACCTCTCAGCTTCTCCTTTTTGCCCAAACAGGACACATCTGGGATGGGCTCATTCCCACACAGGAACGGAATCTGACACATAAACAAGTGAGATATGTCTATACAGTTCAGTCAAAATTCTTCTATGAGAGGTATATGCATTTGGTCCAAGGAAAATGTGCCAGTGGCTAATACCTCAAATTCTAGTTCATCTGGAACATGAGATCTCAGGTGCACAGGCTGATCAGACATTAGTCAGTAAAAGTCTAAAGACACTAATTTTTAAAAGACCAGAATAGCACCTATGGTTCAAATGCTGTAGTGCAAACTCTGAGCATCTAAGAAACAGAACTCAGGCCCTGAGTTCAGGTTGCAGGACTGGCACACACACAAAATTCATAAAAGCTTCAGGGGTTATAAATATGTAAAGCCAACATAATCCCTCCTTGAGGTCTCTGAGGTGATTCAGCCTCCAGTTCACCTGCCTCCCCCACACCCCAGCCTTTCCTAGGTCTACATTATTCACAGACATCCAATTCCCAATGAAACCTTATTGACTCATGGGAAATGTGATTTCCTAGAATCTCACCTAGGTGAGGGCAGAAGTTGGGTGCCACGGGCACATGCCTGTAATAACAGCCCCTCAGTAAGCAAGCTTCTGAGGTTCCAGTAGATTTTCTGGGAAATGTCCTGGGCAGACCACTACTAAGAAAGTAGGCAAGGGGTGCACTTCTTGTCTCATGCCAAGCTCCTGTAAGAAGACCCCCGTGAAATCAACAGGTTCAGAGGGGTGCCAAGTATTCCACAACTCAGCAAGGAGGGACTCAACAGACCAAGATGCGAAGGAAGGGGGAACACTCACTTTTTAAACACAATATCCAGCACTTACTGCATTGTCCCCCACTGTCTATAATTGTGGAGGAAGTTTCCAACATAGAAGAGATCGCCTTTCTGGTAGGCAAGTACCAGGTTCATCACCAACATGTCCAGCAGGCCTGCCTATGGGCTCCATATATGGCATGGCACATTCAGGGTCAGGCCTGACTCACTGGCACACTAAGGTGGGAAAAAGAATCAGAAAAAATGATGGAAATGAGATCACTTCTGAATGAGTAATTGTGATAGAGTGGATTGAAATCTATGCAGAAAGCATTATCTCAGTATAGACAAATCACCTAAGAAGGTTCTCCTGTGGACTGCAT